TAAGGTAAAGATGGGTATTATGACGAATCGGGTTATCTCGTGTTCCCATGATCAGAATCAGATGAAATTTACACCATTCGACTCCTCTCATTGAGAGGAATCAAATGGTATAAATTCCATCCGATTCTAATCATGGGATCACGGGATAATCCCGATTCTTCATGATGTCCTCTTCGTAGTATACTGTATCTAAAATTATTATGACTAATCAGGATATCTCATGATTCCGCAACCAGAATCGGATGCAATCTATACCATTCGCTTCCTTTCAATGAGAGGAATCAAATGGTACAAATTTCATCCGATTCCGATCTCAGGATCACGAGATAACCCCAATTCGTCATAATACCCCAAGGCTAAAATTTTTTATTTTTTAAAAATATTTCAAATATTTCAACTTTAAATATTTCGTGATGCAGTGATCTGAAACGAGTGATTTTGATATCATTCGATTCGGCTCTATGAGATGGATCAGATTTTGCCAAAATCATTTGATTTCGATCAATGCATCTCATTATACGATCGAAAATATTTTAACTTCGTCATAATACCCATATTTACCTTATATAGAGGTTACATTGAAATTTTGGTAAAAAGGTACTTTTTTACAAAAATTATATTTGAAAAGCGGATATTGGTCAAAAGATTACATTTGAAAGTGGATAAAAGCTTTCAATATTATATTATTAAAAGTGGATAAAATTAATAAGTTTTAAATAGGTATATTTAAAATCTGGATAACTAAATAAAATAAAAAAAAGAAAAAAAAGCTTTTTTTTTTTGAAAAATTGTTATAATTGATAATTGGTTAAATTTTATTAAATATTAAAGAATCAGATTGATTAGAATAAAATTATCATAAGAACAAATTTTCAAATATTTTTGCCCATCCCCTTATTTTGCTATGGGGGTCCATATGTAAAATATGGTTAATTAGCTCTAATAAAATGTGGTTAAAAATTTTAATGTAAACTATATATATATTGTTCGGGTCCTGTCTTTAATACTACCAAATTACATCAAGGCCATGGGTTTAAAATTTAAACCCGTGGCAATACTAAAGCTAAAACTACCGATAGATTTTCATTGATTAGCAATCTAATATTCTAATCCTTAACTGTGATTGGCTATTATAAAAAATTTTAAAATTTTTTAAACCTTCTAATGAAGGTTTCTTAATAACTACTCGATCAAATTCAGTGAAAGTTTTTTTATTTTAATCCTAAATTTTTGTAGAATCAAAATAAAAAAAGAGATTTATTGAATTTGGTTTAATAGTCATTGGGAAATTTTTGGCAAAAGTGTAAAAAAAACTCAAATATTAGCGAAAAACTAAAAATCAAAAAAAATATTCTTTTTTAACTTTAATAAAAATTTCTCGACAACCATCTATACATATTTAATGAAATTTTTTTATTTTAATTTTATGAAATCAATAGGATTAAAATAAAAAATTTTTTTTATCGAATTTGTATAGGTGATTATTGAAAAATCTTTGTTTAAAGTTCAAAACAAAATTTGTCCACAGCTTTTTTAAAAATTTGAATGAATATTACTCGAACACTGCCTAACTAAATTCGATCAATTTTTTTCATTTTAATTTATGAATCTATAGAATTAAAATAAAAAAAATATTATCGAATCTGGTTAGGTAAGTGTCGAGTAAGCTTCGCTAATGTTTCAGCACCTATTAAAAGCAAATTCTGTTTGAACTTTAATCAACAACCAACTGTAGAATTAAAATAAAATTTTATATCGAATTTGTACATTTTATTGTTAAAAATCTTCGTTTAAAGTCTTAAACAAGAAAACTTTAAAAATAAAGGTACGTATAATAATTTTAAGGGTGAAACCATTAACCATTAACCTTAGCTGCCGCAACAAAATTGTCACGGCAGATTTTCGATTTTGATTGGCTAAGAGCGACGATCAAAAAAATTAGGCCGGAATTATTCATAACGATAATTTTACTAATAAAATCACAGCCACCCATTAAGTGAAAATTGTTCCTAGGCCAATTTTACCAAAATGCGGGCTTATTTTTTAAAAATTTCTATTTTCGCAAAGAAAAAATTAAAATGTTAATTCCAGCCGGAAATTAGTTAACAATTATGTAATGCGGGCCAAAATTTGAAGATCCTCGGCCGTTAGCAATCAAAATCGATTGCGCGACGATCAAAAAATTAGGCCGGAATTACTCATAATTTTACTAATGAAATCGCTGCCGCCCGTTAAATGAAATGTTCCTGGGCCAATTTTACCATAATGTGAGCATATTTTTTAAAAATTTAAAAAGTTAATTCCGGCCGGAAATTAGTTGTAATGTGGGCCAAAATTTTGAAGATCGTCGGCCGTTAGCCAATCGAAATTTATAAACGGTTTGATTTTTCTAAAACTTTGAGCGAAGTTATCTCGACAACCTCCTGATCAAGTTTGATGAAAAAAAATATATTTGAATTCTATGAATCCATAGAATTCAAATTTAAAAAAAATTCATCGAATTTGTCATGTAGTTGTCAAGATACCTACGCTCAAAGTTTTGGTGCAGACTTTTGATAGACGTTTTGATTTTGTTAAAATTTTGAGCGAAGTTATCTTGACAATCAGATGACTAAATTCGATGAAAAGTTTTTTATTTGAATTCTATGGATTCAAGAATTCAAATTAAAAAAGGTTATAAAATTTGATCAGCTGAATGTCGTGATAACTTCGCTTACATTTTAAAAATTCTTTTTTTGATCACGGGTTTCACCATAAATATAAACGCGGATTTTACATAATTAACCAATCAATGTGGATTTTACTAGCAGGTATCGCGGGTTTCACCCTGTTGTATAATTTTTATATAAACTTTAAACAAAGATTTCTCAACATCTACCTGTACAAATTCGATAAAATGGATCTACAGAATCATGTGGTTGTTGAGAAATATTTTTAAAATTCAAATCAAAATTTGGCCATAGCCAAAACTTTGAGCGAAGCTTACTCGACACTTACCTAACTAAATTCGATAAATTTTTATTTTATTTTAATTATATATATTCATAGAATAAAAATAAAAAAAATTGATCGAATTTGGTTAGGCAAGTGTCGAGTAATATTCGTTCAAATTTTTAGCACCTATTAAAAAAAAAGCTGCGACTAAATTTTGGTTTGAACTTTAATCGATAAAAAATTTTGATTTTAATCTTATTGATTCATAGAAATAAAATATAAAATTTTCATCAAATTTGTACAGGTGGTTGTCGAGAAATTTTCATTTAAAGTTAAAAAAAGAAAAAATTTTCCCGATTTTGGTTTTTTTTTTCGCTAAGATATTTGAGTTTTTTTTTACACTTTTACCAAAAATATCTCAATGACCATTAAACCAAATTCAATAAATCTTTACAAAAATATATAATTAAAAGAAAAAATTTTCACTGAATTTGATCAAGTAGTTATTGAGAAACTTCGCTAGAAGGTTTACAGTAAGTAATAGCCAATCACAGTTAAGGATTCGAATGTTCTAGATTGCAGATCAGTGAAAATCTGTCGGTGCTGCTGCGGACTCAAGTCGACACGTAGTTTAAAAAACATAGTCTTGACTCAAGTTAATTCGAGTTAAGACTATGTTTTTTAAGCTACGAGTTGACTCGAGTCCAGTCTCTATGCTGGAGTAGTTCTAAAGCTGACTATGATTCTAATTTCTAACTACTAATTTCTCCTTAATATCGGGATAGTTTGAATCTAACATCTATTAAGCAATCCGATAATTTCAGAATTTACGTGAAAATCTTGAATATCGATGTCTCATATTATTAACACATGATTTAGTGGAAATAGGTTAACCGATAATTTATTGTAGTAGTAGGGCTGTGTAAATCGGTTACTATATAATCCAATCCCGTGGAAGATCCGGAATTTTACTTACCATCAAATCATTCATTGCGATATTAATAGTAATTCCAAGACTTATGTGCGTACGTACGTACGTTAATGCAAATAATTAAATGATGTCATCCGCGGCATATTTTTATTATGCATTCCAAATTTTGTACACAAATTTTTGGGCGCAGAGACATAAGAAGTTACGTTAAAACTAGTTTTTTAATATGTACAAAGTGTAACTAAGCCATATATAGTAATATTTCTGCATTTATATATTATGATAGACATGCATCCCATTATTAGCGTTAGCGGACTGCAAACTCCACTGTGCAAGGTTAGTGTAACAGAAGGGTCGATCATGCATTGAGAATTTTCTAACAATGCTACGTGGAAGTGTATCCATTTTGCCACGTTTTATATCCTTTTTAATATAGTTTTCAAAAGTTCTAGAACTCTCTATCTTCGAATCTCGATCATCTCATTGCTGACAAATTTAACATTTAATAAAAAGAGCATTACGTTGATAAATTCTTTATGTGATTAAAGGGCTAGCGCTATTGGTTTTCAACTACGCCACAGAGAACAATGAAATGCTGCTCAACAAATAATCACGAATTCGTTATAAAAAAAATTCATAAACTTATAAAATCTTATCCAAGTTAGGTTCATTTGATTTTCATGGTAATTAACGTTAACCCACAATGCCTTCCACATATTAATAAAAATTTTTCCTTGATAATTCCTAACGGAAAAATACTAACCCTAATACTAATCTATAATGCGAAATTTACTGCGAAATAGTAGGTTGAGTTTTTTGTGCAGTTAAGTTCCACAATGCATAATAAATATATTGTTGCAGATCAAGCGCCACTGTGTACAAATAAGGAAAGTTTCGAATTTTCTCTATGCATATATAAATAATACCCTTTTACTTTCGTCGTCGTTTTAAATTGTCATTAATTTCAAAATCAAGAAAATAAAAATTATTAGATCAAAAACATTTTCGTTATTCTTATCAATTTAATCCCCGATTAAAAGCGTTTTTTCGTTATTCGTATCAATTTAATCCCCGATTAAAAGCGTTTTTTCGTTAATATTACCAAACTAGGTTATATTTCGCTTGTTTCGGTATCATGTCAAGTGACATAAAAAATAAAATTGCTCTAAGACCAATTGAGCCTGCTACCAGGGGCGAGCGCATTGAAGTTACAGTTAATTATATAGAAATAGCAAAAAGTGTAAGCATACTTCTATAGAATTTTGTTTTATCTTAGCATATAATATTAAATGAAACCAACATTATTTCTCAATTTAGTTCAAATATCCTGATGTTCACTCTTATACTTTTGAAGTCACAACACAACAAAGAAAAAAAGCAAAGAGAGAAGAATCCGAAGAAGTTTTTTATCAATTGCTTAAAAATAAGGAATTCGGTCAAAATGTTTTTCCAGTATTCGATGGTAATATGATATATTCTTCTGATGAACTTTGCGATGGTAAATCCAATAAAAAATTTTATTCGGTAATTATATGAAGTTTTTGAAATTTTTTGCTTTATTTGCTTTATTTGCTTTCTCATGCTTTAATACTTGCTAAATAAATTTTTTATAGATTAATATTCCTCCCAAAGATGGTGCTGGTCGAGCAAAAAGTTTTTCGGCAGCGCTTAAATATAGTAGTGGATGTAATACTTATCAAATGGCTGAATATGTCAAAGTGAACACAAATCAACGTTGGGGAGATGCCATTCAGAATAATCTTCGTGTTCTTAATACCTTTATTAATTCGAATGTCAGATCACAATATCTTACACATGGAAGAAAACAAATTTTTCCTAAACCTAACCCTCAAGATCGTTTATTTTTGCCAGATGGAATCGAGCTAATGCTTGGTTTCTATCAAAGCATTCGTCCTGGATGGGGTAATATATATTTTTCATTATTTGATCATTATTTAAAAAATACTTATCTAATAAGGTGTGTTTTTTTTTTTTTTTTAATATAGATAAACTACTCATTAATATTGATATATGTGCTACAACATTTTATCCATCCGGTCCATTGATCGATTTGATCCCTAAAATTCTTGCAAATAAAAAATCTAAAGATGAATTACGAAGAGGACTTTCTAGAGATGAAATCAAACATCTAGAGTTTTTTATCAAAGGCATTAGCTTCACGACAACTTATCATTCTGCTAATAATTCAAGGCCAAAAAAGAAAGCTTCTAATATATCTGAAAAATCAGCGCAGCAACTTAAGTTCGATTATAATGGACGAAATATTAGTGTTAGTGAATATTTTCGAGAGTGCGGAACGCCATTAGAATATTCTATGCTTCCATGCATTGTTGTCAAGTCAACTAAACGTGGACAAAATGATGCATTTTTTCCTTTAGAAATTTGTTCTATAATATCAGGTTAGTTACTCCGTTTTGGGAATCTGATATTATGTATTATCATGTTATCTAATATGCCTGAAAATGTTTTAGGTCAAAAATTTAAAGTTGATGACCTCAATAAACCACAGAGACAAGATATGATTAAACAGACTGCTATTAAACCACCTGATAGATTTCAAAGAATTGAAAATGGCTTTACAAATGTATATAAACACTCGGAAAATAATGCAATGAAATCAATTGGAATGTTAGTTGAAAAAGAACTTATAAAAACTGAATGTAATTTATAACCTTTTTTTAGATTATATCATATAATGTTGCATACTTTACTTATTTTTAATTACTTTTTAGCAAGAGTTCTTGATCCACCAAAACTTACTAGCACTCTTGAAAACAAAGAAATCATTCCTGAGTCTGGTTCATGGAGTGTTCCTAAATTTATCGCGGTAAATATTTTGTGATGCAATATTAATAAAACCAAAAAATTATTTATGCGCTTCTTTTTATACATTAGCCGGCAACATTGCATACTTGGTCTGTTGTTTGTTTTGATCCGAATTTAAAGAAACTGCAAGTTGAGGCTGCGATTAGAACGTTAATGGAAGTATTAGTTGAAAAAGGATTGGTATGCTTAGCATCAATAACATTTATAACATTAATAACATTAATAAGCTGTTCTTACAAAATTTTTTTTTTTTTATTATAAAAATTTTATTTTTCATTTCTTAGAAAGTAAACAAACCTGTAAAAATTATTCAGGGCAACACTCAAAATTGCAAAGATGTAAATCTTATAGCTCATTAATTTTAACTTCGTTATACATCAATAACATAATAACATACTTTATATTTTGTAGGCCCTTACTTCAGCTGCACAAAGGGCAAACCCAAAGCTCAATCCACAACTTATTGTTTGCATTCTTGTAAGTAAAGTTAATGGTATGTCTGGCATCTACGCCGACATAAAGAAGATCTGTTTAGTGGACTTAGGAATTAATTCCCAGTGCCTCCAAAGTAAGGAGATTGGAGAACGTCGATGGAGGCAAGTTTGTCATAATATTGCATTGAAAATAAACGGGAAACTTGGTGGAACAAACTCTCGTTTAATTCCAAAACAACTTGACTTTAAAGATTCAAAACGAGTTAGTACTCTTTAATTTAGTATACTTGGCATTTATTTTAAATGAAAATTTAACTAGAACGCTTACGATACTCTTCTTGACAATAGTATATGGTTATTGGTGCCGATGTGTTTCATCCTAGTAGAGAAGATAAACGAAAAGGTCGACCGAGTACTGCAGCTATAGTTGCATCTATAGATCCACCTGCCACAAAATATATTGGCCGATATAGTATGAACAAAAAATTAAAAAATGAGGTTATTGAAGAAATTGATAGTATAGTTTTAGACTTTGTTGAATTATTTGAGAAAGTTAGTAAAAAATCTCCTCCGGAAGCAATTTTATTTTATCGAGATGGTGTTGCTGAAGGACAATTTGAAAGTATAATGGAGAATGAAGTTACTAAATTACTAGATGCACTTAAACCTTTTTATGAAACCCGTAAGCTTCCACCTCCAAAATTAACATTTGTAATTATGCAAAAGCGACATCATACTAGGTAAATGATTAGCATTAATATTTGTGGTTTAGATTTAGTTTTTTTAGTAACTTTTAGCTTATAAATTATCCGCAGAGCCAAACCAAATGATGAATCCAAAGCTGATCCAAAAGGTAACGGAAACTGCAAACCTGGAACTGTTATAGATAAAGATATTGTCGTTCCACAGTATTTTACTTTCTGTGAGTATTTAATTTATAATTTATTGTTACTATTAAGTATTTATTCTTTAATAATTTTGGTTATATATTGACGATATTTTTGTAGTTTTGCAATCTCATTCTAGTCCACTTGGGACTGCTAGACCTGCGTATTACCATGTTATCTATGATGAAATAGGGTTTTCTCAGGATGAAATGCAAACTCTTACTTATAATTTATGTTTTTCATCCGTAAGGTAATTATTATAATAAGACAGTAATAAATTGTTTAATTTTGACAATTATAAAGTTTATCAAGTTAAAAACCATTTTTTTTTAAAGGTGTAATCTCTCTTTATCAATGGTAACACCATTACACTATGCTCATAACCTCGCAAATCTGGCAAAAAACCTTGTTACATATAAAGAATTTCCTGTTAAACCACCCGGTCGTGGAGGTCGTCAAACTCAGGCTCCTGCACCTGCTGATCCAGAAAACGTCCAGGATGGAAAAGTGTACCCTGCTCACGATAATATTAAGAATACAATGTACTTTGCCTAAGTTCCTTTTGTTCCCCTTTTTTTTTTTTTTTTTTTTTTTTTTTTCTTTCTTTTTTTTCCTAATGATTTTTCTTTTTTTCCTAATGTTATTTCTTTTTTTTTTCTTAATTATTTTTCTTACTTTTTCCTAATAATTTTCTTTCATCTTACTTTATGACTATACTATATTATAATTTTTAAAAATATCAACTATGGTTTTGCTTTATGATTTATTATATTATACGGTATTATGAGATATCAACTACGACTTTATGTTATTGATTAATTGTTAAGTTATTATCAGTCAATAAATTGTAAATTTTCATATGATTTAATGTATATTTTATTATCAAGTGATTTATGATACTAGATTCATATATCATTGCGGAAAATTCTCCAATATCTGAAATTTTTGTAAATACTTATTATGCTAATCGGTTTCAAGATACATTATTATACGCTGTGAATCAGATTAAAAAATTTTCGTCAGACCAGAATTATTAGGTTAGAGGTGGGTGCCTATGTTGGATATATGTTAGACGAAACTTCGAGGTTTCGCGCTGACAAACGCAAAACTAGTTTCGTCATTCGTCAATTAAAATCTTAAATGACGAAACTGTAAAGGGTGACAAAACTAATTAAAAGACGAATATACAAATAAATATTGAAAATCATTGATTATGTGTATAAATAAATTATGAATGTTAATTCATTCAAGGTGACAAAAAGTCACCCGATCGAAAAGGCAACGTACGTAAGCAGTGATACGCTTGCGTTTTCGCATGCGGCCGACGGGATTGCGCACAAAAAATGCGCGGCAGATCCTCGATTTTGATTGGCTAAGAGCGACAATCAAAAATTAGGCCGGTAATTTTACTAATGAAGTCGCAGCGCCTATTAAGTGAAAATTGTTCCTGGGTCAATTTTACCATAACGCGAGCTTATTTTTAAAAAATTCTATTTTTGTAATGAAAAGATTAAAAAGTTAATTCCGGCCGTAAATTAGTAAACAATTATGTAATGCGGGCCAAAATTTTGAAGATCCTCGACCGTTGGCCAATCAAAATCGTGCGGCATCGAAGTTCATTACCAACAACTGATCGGTAAGAAGAATTTTCGAAGCCTGTTTGCAATGCTAGCAAAGAATTATATTGTGGTAAGTATGATTCATTGTATCACTGGTTTCAGAAATTAAGACACAATTAGGTAAGCATGTTTAGAATAAAAGAGGCAAACGGAGGGCAGAAGCCCACCTGCGTTCTGAAAACACATCCCAGGTTTCGCACTCGATCCCATCCACCCAGCCATTTTCGCAGTAAATGCAAATCCTTTGGAACCACGGCCGGCCTGCATTATGCAGGTGGGAAACCACCGGCTGATGTTAAACATCGTTAATTCTCATACTAAAAAATCCTCCGGCCTGCTTCATGCAGGTGGGAAACCACCGGTTGATGCTACGCATCGCTAATTTTAATTATACATCGACAGCACCGATGTATGCTGCTCATATCAATAAAGCATTTCTAATAACATGTAGTACATTAAATTTTTTAAAAATTACAATTTTAAAAAAAATTTCTTTTACAAAAATTTTATTATTATTAATATTAAAAAAAATTTTTTTAGGCAATACTAGAGTAATTATTAGATTTTTGAAATAAAAAGTTTTTTGAAAAATAATTTTTTAGATTTTATACGCACTTTAACAAATGTACTACCGGTAGCACAAAAGCTTAAATCCAACCCATTAATGAGGTGCGGATGACAAATGGTGGGTTAAACAGTAGGAAGATAGATTCGATAAAGGATAAAGATCAGGCGTCCGAAATTTTTTTGATTTAAATATGTAAATTTGTTAACTATTAAATAAGTTGATAAATATAGCATAAATTTTTCATATCGCACGCGGGATTATGTCATGAAATTTTGTGAATTTTAATAAAGGAGCTGATATTTCTATGCTGTTAATATCAATCTACCTCTCAAAGACCTGGGTTAATGGATAACTAAGACAGGGTGTCACGTGTGCGTAGTACTGTAGAGCTAAGCTGTGGTATGTAATAGTCTATATATAATGAGAGGATTACGTGGTGATTTGGGCTATATTCGAAAGAGGTATATATTTATTTATCAATACAAGAGAATGCGAAGATTATTTTACATGTTGGTGTAAGAGGCGCCCCTTTATATACATTATAATTTAATAAGAGGACAAAAGCGACAGATTTGACGTTTCGGACACTAGCATCTCTAGCAACATAAAAGAGAGAAAACACAAAGCCCCCAAAATGCAAATATAATTGCGCCGGGAATTGCCGTCTGGTTTGAAATCGCGATGCGTAGCATCAGCTGGTGGTTTCCCACACTGCATAAAGCAGGCCGGCTTTGATAAGAGATTTAAGCTATCACGAAATGGCAGATTCTACGTGGATTCTATGTTAAATTCATATGGTGGGAAGGTTTGGGTGCAGACTTTGCTTCTACAGAGATGGCTGCGGGTCTGCTAGTAGCATGCATCTTCTTATACTTGCCCACGACAATGAAGATATTGTTAGTATCCCTAAATTAGGCAGCTAATTCAGATCTACTTAACTGATTTCATGTGCGCTATCCGTATTTCCGATCAGGATTAATATTAAAGGTTGATCCTGGTTTAACCGGATTGCCACCGGCATATCTCTGCTTAGCCATGTTGACTTATTGCGTAAATCAACTTGATCCAACACCTTTGGGATACAAAAGGTAGTGATTATATAGAGGTGTGATTCTTATAGAATATTCTCTGTATACATATATATTAAAAAATGTAATTGGTATACGGAAATTTTAATAAATGAACCTTTTTTTAAAAAAAAAATTTCAATTAGTCAATTATAACTACTGTACATATAAAATTAAAATTATATTAAGCATAAACCAATATTAGAATATTAAACAAAGTCGTTTAGAAGAAAATACATATATTTGAAATTTTATAATATCTGAACAAAATTATTGAGTCCTAATTCATAGTAAAATTCAGAAATTCAGAGTTAAGATCACTATGGTTTTTAATAATTTTTTTGAAATTATTTGCTGTTCTATAAGTAAGCTAATTTTTTTAATTAAATAATCCTTTCTTCAAGCTTTAACAAACATTGTAGAGACAATTTTTACGAATCTAATGGTGGTAATATAATTAAAATCGACCTAGTAGAATGACAAGATACAAGTAATTTAATATTAAGCAGTTATATAAAAATTAAAAATTAAAAATTTGTATAATTGTGTAATGTAAAATTGCCCATATAGTGGGGCGAATTAATGATTTTACCACTATTATATTCGCAAAAATTGCCTCTACAATGTTTTTAAAAGCTAAAAAAGGGTTACTTAATAAAAAAATTAGGTTAATTATAAAGCGGTAAATGATTTCAAAATTATTAAAGAAAATATAGTGATCTTAATCCCAAAGTTTATTATGCCTATATTGCTGATATTAGATGATTTAAGACTTAATACACTTTTATAATTTATATTTAAATAAAAAAATATAATTGACAACTAGATTATTAAACAGTGGGACGAAAAAATTCGGAATCCAATTTTACACTATCAAAGTCGATAAATTTAGGTTGATTACAAACATTATTAGCAATGACACATTGTCATAATACTGTAATATTGATATTATTGCCTACTATATATCTAATTATCGTGCAAACTCTTATGATCATAGATTTTTTTCTCGTTATTTTTTGTATGTTATAACAATCTCGAATTAAAACTCAGTTAGCCAATAATGACTTGTAAATCATGATCATATTTACACGATAACATCGATATTGGATCATGCGATGATAAATATCATAAAATTTATTCTGTTGAAACAAATTTCATGATATTAATCGTTGCATGACCAATATCTTATAATTATTCGTTAAAACATGGCGGCAAAGCCGCCAACAAAAAATAATTCCTCATACTAAGATACTCGTATATATTATTCGGGAACTTGTTCTAATTTTTTCGACATTTCTTGTATATTGATAGGTTTACTAACATACATATTATTTGGATGCTTTGGTGGGTGGTTCAATTATAGGTTTAACTTTATCGGCTTCTAAAAATTGCTTTCTTATCATCAAAAAGTCCCATTTCTTCAATCCATGAAGTAATAGTAGCACTAACATATTGGCTAGTAGGTCGTTTTCTCGGGTTTAAATCCATACATCGCTTCGCTAATTCAATATAACAATCGGGAGTACCTGAGGTAAATTCTGGTCTTAATCCAAAGTAAATATTTATCGCAAGTTCATTATCAAAACTATAACCATCGAAAGCTTTTCTTCCAGATGATATTTCCGTCCTAAAGCATAAATATCGGCTGCTTGAGTATACGGTTTTCCTTGTAAAACCTCTGATGCCATGTAAGGTAAAATTCCGCACACTTAATTGTCTTCATTAGAGAGTCCTAAATCTGTAATATAAGCATTATCCAAATCGTCTTGCAAAATGTTTCCACTATGAAGATCTCGATGTACTATTCCTTGTGAATGAATTGCTTCAAGATCTGATGCTATACAACTTAATAAATTTAATTTATCTTCCCATTTCATTTGCGACACTTCGTGAAGATTATTACGTAAAGACCTTTTTCTGCATATTTTAAAATAAGAATGTAATTCCCTGAATCATTATCTCTCGACAGTCCGTAGCATCTCAAGAATGATGGATTTTTATATCCGATATCGCAAAATGCTTTCAACTTTTAAAAAAAACATATTAGTCATATATAAGTGCAAAAAAAGGCTCAATAAATTTACCTCGTCAAAAAAATCTTGCTCGTGAATTTTTTTAATTGCGAACGGTTGTTTATTATAAGAATACTTATAATTAATTAGACATTTAGCATGATAAACAGTTGCAAATCCACCCTTCCCAATCTCTTTAATATCTTCAAATTTGTTATACGGAATCCATAACAATTGATACCTTTCATCATCCAATATTTTTTTTTATGTTGTCATCAATATCAGAATA